ACTTAATCTTACCGACGTCGTTCCGGTTTATTAGATATTGTCCTTGGCAGTCTTCAATTAATCTTGATGCGGCATAAACCAAGTATCAAATATCATATTGATATTGTCGATTAGATACATTAATGTTGTTTATTTAGACCGATCTTACAATAATAGACGATTCAATCCCAACTCGAACCTATAAATAAATAAAAATTTAGAAGAAACTTCCTAAACAAATTAACTTACCAAACATCTTAGCAAAAAAACAAACAAACCAAATACGTTTTCCAAACATGCTCACATGATGATAAGCCCTAAAAGCCCCTTAAGACTTGACTGAGAAGTAAAGGCAGCCAATTCTATGCCACTAAAGCTTCATGCCATTGAATGGTCCCGAAAGCGATTAGAAAATGAACTAGGATCTACAAGATTCGACTTTGATCCGTCTATGAACCTTGGTTCACACTCTACGTATCTTATTCTTTCAAGCTTTCTCGAGTCACCCTAACGTAACGGCTAAGAGAATTTGGCTAACGTTAGCTCGTCATCGGGTCCAGTGAAGTGGATTCCTTTATTTACTATATATATCATAGTAACACTCGATGCTTTGCCATGGGGATAACGCCTAGATAGGTGGGGGAGATGCGGTGAATCAATCAGTATTAGCTAAGGAAAGCATTCGAGAAGAGAGGAAATATGTCTTTATAGGAAATTTATCTTTATAGGGAGCCTATTTCCAAATATGCTCACATAATGATAAGCCCTAAAAGCCCCTTAAGACTTGACTGAGAAGTAATTGTTACAATTTTCACGCCTATGATGGTGATACTGTTGGGTAAGAAAAAAATGATTAGTTGTTGAAGAATGGTCCAATCCATGTAACCCATTTTTCAGTGGAACGCATTGTTTAAAAAAAATGATTAGTGGTTGAAGAATGGTCCATGTAACCCATTTTTTTTAGTGGAGTTTTGGGCCTTTCGGCAGTTCAATGAGAAATCTACACATTTTCATGCTTACGTTTACAGAAGGAAGATCAGTTGATGGTTTGGCTTCGACACGGTTGTCCACTCTTTTGGAGACTAATATGACTTACAAAGACATTTTAACCTCCCTTTAGTGACTATCGCGTTATTCACCCGCATCAAAAATCGAACTCAAGAGGTGCCATGTAGAATATGGATTTGAAATTCATTTCCAACTATTGGCCCACCCTGTGGTGGTTACATATTTTCATGCTTAAAATATAGCATATTTAGAAAAAAAGTAAGAGAACTATTGACACCATAAAAAGTGAAAAATTACACTGTTGACAATGCATGAACTTTTTGTAGTGTTAATAACAACTTACAAAAGTAATATGATAATTTTTGTGGTGTTACATAATGTTTTATGTGAATTTGATTTCCATATATGAAAATAAAAACTCATACACCTTAATGTAACACTGAAGGTTACTTTTTTTTTTTTTTTTTTTTAGAGAGCATGTAACACTGAATTAATATACGAGAATCAGGATGCCTAAGTTTGATTTAAATTTACATAGGTGTTGTGACGTTAATAGACTTACGCCACCATATTACACTCGGCTTGAACTCATATCCACGACTCAAATTTTCTAGTTCATTGTGAGTCCGAGACCAAGAATTTACATTAATTAAATTCAAAATTTTCGACACACTATGAAATGACTAAAGGATTTTACGAGATAGAAACGGAGTTGAAATTGCTATGAAATTTCCAACAAAATTCAGAGGGATGTATTTTCTACGTATGATAGAGGGAAATCACTTTGCTTTGCTGGTTCAATGAACGTCGTGACCAAACGTTTCTTGTATCATTCAGAAATGAATGCAGAATAGTAATTGAGATGGGACTTTAACACTAAGAAATGGTGTGTGTTTGGCTGCGTGGTTGTGTATCCTGCCATGGATACACCCTGTGATCAGAGACAGTCTGTGTTTTGGCAGGTTTACAGATATTCACAGCAGAGATTTTAAAGTAGGAGTTGAGATCCTCTCTATTGTTCCAAGATAAAGGATTAGTAAATTCAGACGGCACAAATTAAATTTAACGGTCTTCATTAACTCAAATCTAAGATTCTGATTTTTCTCTTGAACAATTCGGACTTCTCGTTTTTAGGCTTTGGGCGGTGAGGTTTGAAGAGAATATCAGCTCGTCAAGTAGTACACTGGGGTACAAATTAACTCAGCATGCTTAGTTTAATGCATCACTTAATTATGCTAATCAATATTTTTTACCAGTATCATCAGATCATCAGTTAAGATTCAACCGACTAATAAACCTGCAATTATAGTAATATATAGCACATTAGATCAAGTGGAACGGTATCCAATGTTGCTAACTTTAACTTGGCTTGGTAGTTTATATGTTAATTGCCTTTTTGGCAAGAGATCGGGGTGTGTGAGTCACTCGACGAGAGAGAAAAATACAAATCATGGAAGAGACAAATAAGTGAAGAAATATATAACCGGTTACAAGTTAGATTTTTTGTCGAAAATTGAGATAGACTAACAGAGAATAAGAAAACCCTAATACGTTTGCAAGGGAAAGAATGCATAGCTTCCTGATAGTCTGAGAGTGTAAGTCTGTTTGCTTGTCTACCGAACACATTTTTTACTCCAGCAATACTCTAACCTATTATGAATAATGGAGATCATGGTTCGATTTAAGCGCATAAATAGAGCACATTGTTCTAATAAACTTATTTATGCATATTGCATATATATGTTAGGTCAGTTAATCATGAATTCTTGTAAATGAGTTTTGATTACTTGTACTTTAAGATTCTCAACTGTAATATTTAGGACTCCTACCACTCATAAACTTGTGTATTACAACATACACATTGTGAATCAATGAGATAAAGAGTCATAATTTCTGCATAGTATCAATTGTCCTTCCCCTATCATGCTCATCAATTGTTGCTTTCCTACTACCAATCCCGCCCCGTAAACGAGCGACTTTATTGTGTAATTGAGCATTGAAAATCTCTCATTGATATATTTCTCATCAAGTGATTTCTCATATAATGTGAGAGTGAAAACTATCTTATAACTTGATTTATTGTGTAATTGAGCATTGAAAATCTCTCATTGATATATTTCTCATCACGTGATTTGTCAAATAATATGAGAGTGAAAACTATCTTATAACTTGATTAATCATATAATGTGAGATAAAAAAAATAAAAATAAAAAGTATACAACAAGAGATATGCAGGTTGTTTTCGTTTCGTACCATAAGAGGTTTTTGAGTGTGACTAGAACATAGAACGGCATGCCGCATATTATTATACAATTGGAGTGATAATTTTTCTTTGAAAAAAAAAAAAAAAAAAAATTTCCCTTCAATTGTATAATGACATATAATGTACCGTCCGTCGGCACGCTGAAAAATTTCTCGTAAACGATATTGCAATGATAAATTTTATCATAGATTCTTAAAAGAACATAAAGAAAAACATGAAAAAGTAAGCTTGATTTGTTTAGTGTTTAGTTGAGTTAATTAACATGGTGTTGGTTCCATGGTGTTTCCTTCCTCACTTTGGCATCTGATTTGTTAGACAATCTAAGCAGAATATTCTGAATAGAAAACCAAAACTCGTAAAAAATTAAGTAAAAAAAGAGAGAGTTGACGAGCGGCAGCTGAGCCGGCTAACAAGCCGAGGTTCGCGCCTTCCCGTAACCCAAAGTTTACACGCGCATTTGCACGTGCAAGGACATCACACACGATTTTTGTAAAATCTCTATTAATTAATGAATTTTTTTTTTCTCAACCAAAAGAGAATGAAAAAATTACTTAGTTTTTTATTACACAAAAAATATGATAGACAATAATGTAATTTCACAGGTTCAAATTTTACTATTTTTTATTGAAATCTTACCTATAAACGATGTTAAAATATCTCTAATATTAAAAAAATAAAAAATAAAAATCTCCCACTCCTTCCACATTCTCTCTCTCTCTCTCTTCCTCTCTCTTTATCATTTTCTACAAAAATATGTTCATACACATAAAATATGTAGGCAAATGTATCTTCTGCTTCTTCAAAGACAAGTTGTAGTCCCGTAAATTCTTAAGCCAAGTCGTCTAGGATCTTGAACTAGTACAAGTAAACATGAAAATTTGCACACATCTACAACACGTGATGCGTTTTGAAGACATTTCTATAACAAAGATTGGCGTGGGCACATCCAGACGAAAAATGACGTATGTTTGTTACGTTGATAGAGATTTCATGTTCGATTTGTATTTGCTCACACCCGTAACGGTTAAAAAGAAAATAATAGACATGTACATAGACGGAGCCACCTTATGCCTAGTGGGGGCTAAGTTTTTTGGCAGAAGAAAAATGTGCATAGTTATTTTTATAGAGAGAGATATTTGATGGTATATGTAATGAAGTTGTCATGCAACGCTTTCAAAACATAAAAGCACATCGATAGGGTATTGTAATATGTTGTATGAAAAACCTTATGCATTAGTATAAGTGTGTTTTGTTTAGTAAATTCTTAAGCTTTTTAATTTTTGACTATGTTATTTGAGGATACCCCCCTAATTCATACAAATCTTTGACTCCATCCATGGACATGTATCATTTTTCTCTTTTTATGCACCCCTCTAACGATTGACTAACGGATGTATGACATTGTAACGAATTTGTATGTTAATGCATAGCATTACAATATTCAAAATAAGGTATAAATTTAGGAAAAGGATCCTCGCCGGATCCTTTTCATGGGGATCCTAGGGATCCCGATTGTGACCGTTCATCGTACATCGTGCTATCAGTTTTCGTTAGGTAATATTTATATTTAATTTTAAAGTTTAAATTTTGAAACGATTTTTTACCGCACGATATACGATAAACGGTCATGTTCATAGTATCCCTAGAATCCGCCGGATCCTTTTCCATAAATTTACCATGCGATTCAAACTTCAAGGAATTTTGCCCAAAATGAAACATACAGAAGCGAAACGTGACAAGAAGGAAGGGGCTTGCGTCCCGCGTATATAAAGCCAAGGTCCTTCCCAAACAAGCCGTCCCACTCTCACACTCCCCAGTCTCCCCACTCCCACTGTTTCTGCTCTTAACTCTCCAACTGCCCCAAAAACCACTTGGTTTTCCATTTTCTAGAGAGAGAAAAACGAGAAGAGAGAGAAAGAAAAAGAGACGAGCAATTTTCCGCCATTAAAGCTTCTCGGTAACAAAGCGTGAACACTATCACTCTAATACTCACAACGCTTTCACTTTTCGCAAAGCATTCAGATAATCACAAAATGGAGCTGAGCAAGGTGACCTTAGAGATCTTCACGAAGCTGGAGCAGAAGTGGCTCTCCCACTGCGAAACCGCCAAGAAGACTCGGATTCTTAGCATCGACGGCGGAGGCACAACCGGCATTGTCGCCGGAGCCGCCTTGATCCACCTCGAGGATCAGATCCGGCTCAAAACCGGAGATTCCCATGCTCAAATCGCCGATTACTTCGACCTCGTCACCGGCACCGGCATCGGTGCCGTCCTCGCCGCCATGCTCGTCGCCGATGACGGCTCCGGCCGCCCTCTCTTCACCGCTAGAGATGCTGTGAACTCGGTTTCCCAGAAGAATGCTGACTTGTTCAAATTGAGGGTCGGTGGAGTGTTCCACCGGCGCCGGATGTTTTCCGGTGGGAGCATGGAGAAGGCGTTGACGGAGCTTCTGACGAGGGAGGACGGGAAGGTTCTGACGCTCAAGGACACGTGTAAGCCTCTCCTGGTTCCCTGCTACGACATGAAGAGCTCCGCCCCGTTCGTGTTCTCCCGAGCCGACGCGTCCGAGTCGGCGAGTTTCGACTTCGAGCTGTGGAAAGTCTGCCGCGCCACGTCATCGACTCCGGGCGTGTTCAAGCCGTTCAGCCTGAGATCCGTGGACGGAAAGACTTCGTGCTCGGCCGTGGACGGCGGTCTTGTGATGAACAACCCGACGGCGGCGGCTGTTACGCACGTGCTCAACAACAAGCGCGACTTCCCCTCCGTCAATGGCGTCGAGGACCTGCTAGTTTTGTCGTTAGGTAACGGCCCGCTGAGCGGAGAGAAGGCGGGGCGGGGTAACGGAAAGTGCTCGCCGCCGTCGGTGGTTGACATTGTGCTCGACGGAGTTTCCGAGACCATTGACCAGATGATGGGGAACGCCTTCTGTTATAACCGCGCTGATTACGTCAGAATTCAGGTATATAATTAAGGGAACTTAAATTAATTTTATCTGGATTAATTAAACTTTAATTTACGGGATGATTGACGGCGTTTGTTGCAGGCGTTCGGATTGGGGAGCGAAGGGGTTGCGTGCCAGCGATCGGAGGGGGAAGCGGCGGTGTTGAAGGAGAGAGGGGTCGAGTCGTTACCGTTTGGCGGGAAGCGGTTATTGACGGAGACAAACGGAGAGAGAATCGAGGGTTTCGTGCAACGACTCGTGGCTTGTGGAAGAAGCAGTCTGCCACCTAGTCCCTGCAAGGATTCCACCGTTAGCCCTGTCGTTAACGGGCGTTAGTTAGAATTTGGTCTCTTTTTTTTTTTTCCTGTAATTTTTCTTTTTTTGGTAGTTTTTCTGCAAGATGTAATTTGTAACCAATCTCAGGTTCACCGTAGCAACAGTAGCAGCTAATAATAACCCCTTGTGCATCTTTAATTATTCAACTAGACGTGCACAATTATGTTTTCTTTTTCGCTAAGGACAATGTAGGGCTTACTTAGAAGTGTTTTTAAAATTACTAAAAACATTGGGAATTATTATCAGCACTTCAAAAATCTCATTTGGTACTCCAAATTTTCCACAATTAGAAAGAAAAATACATTTGTGAGGAGTGTAGAATGAGATTTTTGGAGTACTAATAACAATTCCCAAAACGTTTTTAAATAAAATATTTTTGAATTTCAAAAGCAATTGAAGCATATGATTATTCCAGGAAGTACTTCGAGTGTTTTTCAGGATTCCCTTGCGTTTTTATGAAGGATTTTCTAAAAATATTTTTTCAAAAATGTTCTTAATCATTTTAAAAACACTGCCAAACATTGTGCCAATATCTTTAACTAATATTAAAAAATTATATGTTTTAACGTCGCTTACAACCCCAATATAACAATGCGTAAATAGTGTTACATTGGCATAGTTGTTGTAGGGTCTCTCTCAAGAAAGAGGTTTTATCAACCAAAATCTCTATATTTAAAGGACCACATAGGAGGAGAGAGGTTTTATGTACACCCGTTATGTTATTGTGGTAGTATCTTAACAAGTTTTGGATCAGATCACGGGAAATTAGAATGCGTGATATTGTGTAACTGTTTGAACCATACGACATATCCGGTGTAAGTAACTTCTCCCATCAATGATAGATGTAAATGATTCTCATAAAAGTGAGTTCACTTGTTTTAAATTTTAGAGGAATTTCCCCTCTCCTTAGTGTAAAAAAAACGATGTACTAAGAAAAAAAATTAAAGGAATTTATTTGTCCTTGAACTTTCATCATAATTTACAATTGGTCCCTATACAAAAAATTCATTGATTAATGTCATTGAATTTAACAAGTGTTATTCGAGTGAGAAGAATAATATTGAAGAATTACGAATTATAAGTACATGGTTTAAAATTGCCTCTGCCATTAACTTTTGTAAAAAAAATTATGCTAATATGACGATGTGGCACTTATGCGAGTCCCACAGATATAGACATGTATTATCTGATGTATAGTGTTACACACTCACTTTTGCCTCCCACGCATTTTGTTAATTTTTTCCCATTGGTTTGTCAATTCATTCAATACGACAGCTAAAATTTAAGAACAATGTGTGAGAAGTAAAAATGAGTGTATGAATGACAATATCCTTTCCAAATGCAACCTTGAATTATTGAACAAAAAAGTACCTTCTAGTACTTTGAGAACATCAAGCTACAGAGAGTATGCCTTGTAAATCCTTCTGCACATTTTCAGCTACCAACTGAAATATGTAGTAATATAGGCAAAGAAAAGGAATCGAATCCCGTTTATAGGTGAGCAAGATTTCACATACAGGTACTGTCAGAGCATCTCCAGCAATCAAGTTCAATTTTTGCTAAAATAGCTCATGAATTCATCGGTGTACAAAAATTATTTTAACTTTTTATCTCCAACAACGCTATTTTTTTATGCCATTGCTTCCTGTCACTCATTAAAACTCAACTTTATAAAACCCTTTCTCCCATCTCTCAACCTCTTTAATATCTTAGAAACCCAAGTCGTCGTCGTCGTCTTCCTGTTTTTTTTTAAGTCCTCTTTAATTAATATACTGCCCAATTTCTACTTGAAGCTGTAATGTCAACATTGTCAATAAATAAGACAAGATTTATGGCTTATTATACAATAGGGTGTATTTTTGTTCACCACCCTCAATTGGTGGTAATGCTTACCGCTCTACGTATTATTATCGGATGAGTTTAAATTTTGAATTTTATATCTATCTACTACACAGATCTCAAAATTTAAATTTATCCAGCGGTGATAAATAAGGTTGTGAGCATCATCATAGGGTGGTGAGAAAAAACTTTCACTTTAGGGTGGTGAGAAAAAAACATGCTCTTAAACAATGCGTTGGAAATATGAAAGCGTGTGATGGTAAAGTTTATGAGTGTGATGTTATTATTAATTATGGGTTTGTTATTAACCGCACGTTATAATTGTTGGAGAACAATTTAGAAATAATAAAATAACAGAAATACAGAACCGAAATACATAAACTTTATTATTCAAAAATACTTGTAATACAGAATGCAATTATGTTATAGTAACCAAAAATTAAAATGATACTAACTTGAATGAATTGAAGGTAGAGGCTAGCGCAAACGCTATGTCCTTTAAACAATATTTCCGTCCCACTCGCGTGCTTGTGGTTCTACAACGTCTGAACGACCAGGATACAACTACCTAATTCTACAACCCAACCCGCATTGGATTATAGAACTCTAGCGAATTGCTTTGTGTGTTTACTCTCTGGAAATTTTGTACAGACCAAGGCCCTTGTCTTGATTAATTAATATTAATTTATATTAATATTATAGTATAATCATCAATCCTAATCCACACAATTAGTGGCCCAAACCTCAATCTCATTCCAAATAGTCCAAGTTCTAATTACTAAGAAGAAGGAATAAGCCTATATAAAGGCTAGTGAAAAACCACTGTTACCCGATATGGGACAAGAAGGGTCTCAAAACTCCTACAATAACATGACTTACTTGCGTGATTGATATAATATGAATCCAACTTAAGGTATTGTATCAATAAACAGATCATTCACGTGTTTTCTCCATGACGTTATTTCACATACATAAAACACCACAACAATAGTATCATCGTGTCATAAAAGTTCTTCTATCTCTCTCGTGCTGTGATTGTACCGTGAAGCAGAGCTAGCCAACCTGTGCTGATGGGGACTCCGTGGGGACTGGGGATGACATTCGCATAGGAGGAAAGGAAGAGAATCCTAGGGATATTCCAGTGTGCATGGTTTTTCCAATTCCGTCGGCTTTGATGGTAAGAGGAGGAGAGGAATGTGAGGTTGGTTTGGCCGTTTAGGGGGGACCTCATCTAATTTGAGCTCTGGATTTAATATTTTACGTGGCTAAGTACTAATATTTTCGTTTTTTGGCACAGTACATCACGGTCGTCATTCATTTTCATCACCTACTTATTCATCTCCATAAGAATTTGCTGCAAGTCCCTTCCAATGTCACTTTCTCCCAATTTACCATTAATTGTACTAGTTTGTACCTTTTTTGTAACTTGTATAAAATGACCAATTTCATGATCAAGATCAACCTCTCCATCCATAAACGTGCTTTGAGCAAACAATTCTAGATTAACACGTCAATTACATTTTGCAAACGACACAAATAAATATATTGTTATAACAGTGGCGGATTCAGGATTTGAACCTAGGGGTGTTAAGGATTCAATTTTTTTAGATAAAATCAGAGCGGGAAGTGCGTTTGGTGGGCTTGTTGTCGTCAGGCAAACCAAGTTGCACACTTGTCAACATATATTGATATATGTAGAAGCAATCTGATAAGTGCTATTGAGAATTTATTGAGTATTATTGACACAACTTGCAGATATCGAACACTTAATGGGAACAAAAGAACCCTATCGAATATTCAAAAGGTTATAAAAAAATCTTCACATGTATATTTTTCAGATTTCGAAATAATCTTAAACCACCTTGCTCCCTGTATCCGTTCGCTCAGGGTTATGAGCCCTTTTACTTTTGATTTTTTTAGTCTAATTGTCGAGTAACTTTTGTTTTTCTCACGAATTACTAGTCGGTCGGCCTTTCTTTCTCTTGACATGAAAGGCGGTGACGCTTGCATTAACGTATATATTTGCAAATTTGATTCGCAACATGTTCTTTATTTACTGTCCCATGATCAATGATTAGTGTTTGATTATTATTTTTAATGGTAGTCTATTGCCTAAACGAGTCATGACTAGAGTTGCCTCGCTTATAAAATATACACGAATCTAAAAATATAGAGCTCGTTTAAAAGTATTTTTAGGACACACTTTTGTTGAAAATGTTTTTAAAATCAATCTTTAATAAAAGTAGAAGTGAACACAAAAATATTTTCGCTAAAACACTTGCAAACAAGTACATGGTAAAAATTGTCAAATTAATAAATTAGAAATTAAGAGAAAAACACAAATATTCGAAAAATAAAAGAGAAAATAAAAACAATATAAGACGTTGGCGGCATGGCGGCTTGAAATTGGCTAATGTGGGTGGCTCCTAATGCGCGCTGCTGTACTTAGTTGTGTTGCAGAAGCAACCTGAGGCCGACAAGTTTGGGAAGTGAGTCATATCTAAGGGCAACTTATTCATTTAAGATTACGGTTTAATTGATATTATTTTTTATTTGAAATTAAAAGATTTTAAATTGATTTTAACTAAAGATAAATTTGAATAATATTATTACTAATTTAGTATGAAACATAATCTACTGTCCTACTTCTTATTATAAATAATATCGTTGGTTTAAAAATAAAAAAAATAAGCGACCATGGCTATTAGGATAATTAATTAAAAATCCCTTTTGTTTTATCTTTTGTTTTGTATGTACCAAACAAGTTGAAGAATCCAAAATTTATACGTGGTGCAATGCTTTTTAATTTTCTAGGTAGGATAAGTACGCACCATAGAAAATTACATTTATCATTATTTATCTTAAACCCTTTTGCAAGTTGCAAGTTAGTTTAGTGCAACAAGAGATTTTCAGTTTTTGTTGTCAATCATGCGGTGAGAATGATATACACATAATTATAAAAGTGTATGTTTTTCAAAAAATCTCTAATATGCTCCACTACAAAAAAAGATTTTCGAATGACGGCAAAGATAAGACGTGTTGATTCTCCGGTGAAGCCTCTCGTAAGCTAAGGCGACTCGGTTTTGTAACCGTAGAATTACCAAAAATGATCTAGGAAAATCAAAGATCCATGTCACTCGGAGATCTTGTAGTTTTGCATCATATTTTGTGCTCTGACTTTCCATATTTTTCAATGAATATCTGCTTCAAATATGTTATAATTTGACATTTTATTTTGAAAATATGTAAAAACTAGTAATTTATACTGTCAAGAAAAAATTACTCACCACATATATCGATCTGAAAAAAGAAGAAGAAAAAAACACTTAT